GGGGGGGGAAGTTGATAAAGTCAACGAGACACGCTGTGATGACTTACAAGCAAGCATGAGTCAGAGATTAGCAATGCTTGATGAACAAAGTGGTATTACTTATAAAATTGAATAGTAAAAAGACAGGAAAATTAAACACCACTGACAATAAATCAAATACTGGCATGAGGAAAAAAGTAAAACCTTTTGGAAGAACATTCCAGATTTAGGGTTTAGTTTTTAAAGCATCTTTATAAATGAGGTGAGGCTACCTTTACTCTATGATCTTTGTGATTAAAAAGAAAAAGAAGAAAAACCAGTAAGTTCTTGCTGGATAAGCAGACTTTGACATTCCTACTTGTTTATCACAGCCTTCCTGGAGAAGGTTCCCTTGACAGATGGAAAAAGGATCATGGAAACTATGTTAACTCACTCAGCTGTCCATTACGCTAGCCAGTACTGTCTTAATTTTCTTCCACTCCCTTTCTGTAGCCACCCACTTTCCTGACACAAACAAACTATCACCTAAAATGAATATATGATACCATTCCTATTGGAAAGGAAACTGTGGAAAGTATTTTCATGTAGCAAGAACAGATCAGCAAGCACAAGCAGGAGAAAAATGTGATCTGGGAAGACCTTGTTTACCTGACTCTCCATCAGGTAAACAGGTGGGGGAAGCAAGCAGCAGAGTGATACCTATGCCATTATGACCTTCCCTCTGCAACTACTTAGAAGGGCACCCTCAATTTACTATTGTTCAGTATTTGCTAGAATTCTCAGATAGACAACCATTCTATCAGCCAAATTAACAACAGTGAGTTTTACCTTTTCTAAGGTACTTTATGTTTATGGAGAACAACTCGATCAAATACTATAAAGTAGCCACATACTACAATCCAGCTTGAATAATGCTCTCCCAATTGCTGATTGGTGCAGGAATTTCCACTTTTTTTTTAGTTAACCATACCCAACTTTCATAAGTTATGTTACCTCCTTTATGTTTTACATGCCACTCGGTGTTCATTCTGAATACCCTTAAGGCAACTTTAGGAATAGCCTATGAAACAAGTAACATTTAGAAAAATTTACTATACAACGAGAGCTTTTTCGGGCTAAAAACAGCTGCTAGAGAGAAACTCCAGCACCAGAAATACCGACAACTCTTCAAAATCCAACGAGTTATCTCTGACCGAATGCAATACTGCAGATACCGAGAGGACTGCTCTCCTTTCCCACTCAGATCTCGTTGCCGTTGTACAGCCGATCTTCGCCTCCTTAAGCCACAGTAATGGCTCCCACGCGAGGTCTCCCCGCAAACCTAGCACAGCCAGGAGCCGAAGGGACTCGCAGATCCCGGCTGGCTGGATGACAGCTTTCGCTTTCTAGCGCGCAAACCACACACCAGCCCCCGAAGCTGCCCCCGCCGCGTTCAGGCCAGCCCAGGGAGCATCTCAGTTACCAGCAGCTGCATTTGCAGCCGGCGGCTGCTGCCAGCCCCAAGCGAGAGGGAGACCGGCACAGTACCAAAGGAGACGCGTTGGCTCGCGGGTTTCTGCCAGCCCCGGGCCGCGGGCGCCGTGCCCCCAGCGCCGCTCCTGCGCGGCGACCGGCAGCGAGGGGCGAACTAAGAGGCGTTTCCCAGGTTTCCGCAGGCCTACGAGACACGTCCGCCCCCGGTCGCTGGGGACAGCGGGGTCCCGGCCCAGAGCCGGCTGGGACCAGGCGCT